TGGATTTTTTTGTTTTATGGGTGTGGGGTTTGATAAGTTCTCTATAGATCTTGGATACTAGCCCTTTACTTGTTATGTCATTTGCAAATATCTTCTTCCATTCCATAGGTTACCTTTTAGTTTTGTTGACTGTTACCTTTGCTGGGCAAAGCTTTTTATCTTGGCGAAGTCTGAATAGTTCATTTTTGCTTTTGTTTCTCTTATCTTTAGAGACATGTCTAGCAAGAAGTTGCCATGGCCGAGGTCAAAGAGGTCGCTGCCTGTGTTCTCCTCTACAGTTTGATGGATTCCTGTTTCATATTTAGGTCTTTCATCCATTTTGAGTCTGTTTTTGTGTATGGTGTAAGAAAGTGGTCCAGTTTCATTCTTCTGCATGTGGCTGTCCAATTTTCCCAACACCATTTGTTGAAGAGAATGTCTTTTTTTCCATTGGATATTCTTTCCTGCTTTGTTGAAGATTAGTTGACCATAGAGTTGAGGGTCCATTTCTGGGTTCTCTGTTCTGTTTCACTGATCTGTGTGTCTGTTTTTGGTCCCTCACTATATTATCTTGATGATGACAGCTTTGTAATACAGCTTGAAGTCCGGAATTGTGATGCCACCAGTTTTGGTTTTCTTTTTCAACATTCCTTTGGCTATTCAGGGTCTTTTCTGTTTCCATACAAATTTTAGGATTGTTTGTTCCAGCTCTATGAAAAATGTTGATGGTATTTTGACAGGAATTGCTTTGAATATGTAGATTGCTTTGCATAGCATAGACATTTTAATGATGTTTGTTCTTCCAATCCATGAGCGTGGAATGTTTTTCCATTTCTTTGTGTCTTCCTCAATTTCTTTCACAAGTGTTCTATAGTTTTCAGAGTACAGATCCTTTACTTCTTTTGTTAGGTTTATGTCTAGATATCTTATGGTTTAAATGTTTGGTAGAATTCACATGTGAAGCCATCTGATCCTGGACTTTTGTTGGGGGTTTTTTGATTACTGATTCAATTTCATTAAGAGTGATTCACCTATTCAATGTTTTCTATTTCTTTGTCATTCAGTTCTAGAAGATCATATGTTTCTAGGACTTTATTCATTTCTTCTCAGTTGTTCCAGTTTGTTAGCATATAATTTTATATAATATTCTCTTATAATCTTTTGTATTTCTGTGGTGTCAGTTGTAATTTCTCCAACTTCATTTCTGATTTTACTCTCTGGCTAAAGGTTTATCAATTTTGTTGATCTTTTCAAAGATCCACCTCTTGGTTTCATGGATACTTTCTATTGTTCTTTTAGTCTTTATGCAGTTTATTTCCTCTCTATTCCTTTTTTTTTCCCTTCTAGCTTTGGGCTTAGTTTTTTCTTTTTTTTAGTTCCTTGGGTGTAAGTTTAGGTTGGTTGGTTGAGATTTTTCTTGTTTCTTGAGTTAGGTGTGTATAATTACAAACTTTCCTTTTTAGAACTGCTTTTGCTGTATCCCATTGATGTTGGACTGTTGTGCTTTCATTTTAATTTATCTCCATGTATTTTTTATTTCTTCTGTGATTTCTTTGTTGACCCATTGGTTGTTTAGTTTAGCTTTAATGTGTTTGTGATTTTTTTCAGTTTTGGTGGGGTTTTTTGTAATTGATATCTAGTTTCATACTGATATGGTCAGAAAAGATGCTTGATATGATTTCAGTCTTCTTAAATTTATTGAGATTTATTTTCTGGCCTGGTTTTTTTGGCCTAACATGTGATCTGTCTTAGAGAATATTCCATGTGTACTCAAATAGGTATTGTGCTGTGTTTGGATAGAATTTTCTGTATACATCTGTTAGGTTCATCTGGTCTAATATGTTGTTCAAAGCCACTGTTTTCTTATTGATTTTCTGTTTGGGTAATCTATCCATTGACATAGATGCAGTGTTAAAATCCCCTAGTATTATTGTATAACTGTCTATTTCTCCCTTAATATCTGTTAACATTTGCTAGATGCTTCTGTTTTGGGTGCAGAGATACTTACAATTGTTATATTCTCTTGTTGGATTGATCCCTTCATCATTATGTAATGCCATTCTTTGTCTCTGGCTACTGTCTTTGTTTTAAAGTCTGTTTTGTCTGATATAAACATTGCTACTCCGGCTTTTTCTCCACTTCCATTTGCATTATTCCACGCCTTCACCAGCAGTCTGTGTGTGTCTTTATTTTGAAGTGATCTCTTAGAGGTAGCATATAGATGGATCTTGTTTTTTAATCCATCCTGTCACCCTTTATCTTTTGGTTGGAGTATTTAGTTGATTTACATTTAAAGTAATTATTGATAGGTATGCACTTATTGCCATTTTGTTAATTTCTTTTTCTGGTTGTTTTTGTAATTCTTTTCTTGTTCTCTTGCTTTCTTCCCTTGTGGCTTGATTGTTTTTCTTTAGTGGTATTCTTATATTCTAACTTTTTCTATTGAGCCCTAAACAACAAATTTTCAAAGGAATCCAGATGATTATTTGGAATATTTCAGTAACATTACTGAACTCAAGCTACTGATTATCTCAGGCAAGACCAAATCTGCAAACATCTTCCCCTGCTAATGGCAGGTGTTAGGTATAAGCAGTATTTTCGCATTGTATTTATGGACTCCACAGTCTACTCTGTTAGATCTTCAAAGTCCTCTAGATATTTGCAGCTGTCTTGATGACACCTTGTTTGTTAAGAATTTCAGCGTCTGACGTTTTTCCCTTCAGGAAAATTGGTAGTGGAAATCTGTGGACACTTTTCAGTAGTCAGACCATTAGAATGACATAAATGTGTTGAACATTGATGTTCAGTGATACAAACCAGTTTCTTCCCAAAAAGCTTGTGTGCTAGCCCCCTGTGTGACAGATGGACGCTCCACTGGAAACAATAATGGGCATCTTCTGATTGCAACAGTATCAACTGAGAACGATATTGTTATTACTTTGAAGAATAGATAGAGCCAACTTAACTCTAGGACTCAGGGATACTGATGAGGACTGTTGCCCTTCTGCAGTATCCAGGGATACGCTGCTACAGGCACTTAGAATGTAAAACAGTGCTTGCATTGCCATGACTGAGTCACCCACATGATGGTACTGTGACTGCTGCTGGCATTTATCCTGCTGGGTTTCAGGGTCATATTCTCTATCAAGGTGGATGTTCCTCTTCCAGAGTCTTCATATTTTTCAAACTGCAAGTGAATTTTGACATAACCTGTTGAGTGGTCAGCTGCTGGATTATCTTAGTCTTCTGATATTCTGTGAATCCTGTTGGTGAGAGCTCTTTGCCTATGTGTGTTATGGGTAGTTTCTATGTCTGAAGCTGCTCCTTTGATATCTAAGACATGTAGTTATATAGCTTCTCTGGCCAGGGACTTTTCCTGGGCCGTTAAGATGTTAAATTTATACTTTTGAGGGATTCACTATAGATTCCACATACACTTTATTCTGTAAAAAATTCTAAAAATATCTTAGACAGATCAGCATGGCAATACTCTCATTAGATTGTTGCTTCTATTTGTAAAACTTAGATTTCTTATTGCTCACAGCTCGTATGTACATTATGAGAAAAAAATTTATGCAACTAAATAAATTCATGTCCTAATCTCAGGTAGAGCAGGGTTAGTGATCAGCCTTAAATATGGTGTATGTTTATGCCTCAAGCTGTCAGGTTGTAGCATACAATTGATTGGAGGTCCTTTATCTTGGTTTCTTGAAAATGGAATGAAAACCTTTCAGTATATAAATCCAAGGAAGCAGGATAATTGACATCCAACACTTCATAGTGTTCCTCCGAGGACAGTGACCACTGAAGACAGAATTTGCCTAAATTTAAGGTGAAGCCAGATTGAATTGTCTACTAAGAGATCCTGGAGGGGGTTTACACTGCCTGCTGTTTTCCTGCATCTTTTTCATGTGGCCGTGACCCCCAGCATCCTATTTAAGGCTGTAGAATAAAGTTCTTGGAGCAACAATAGGTAGTAGTAACAGGAAGGAGCCAACTTAACCACAATACTTTGTTATAATTAAATACTGTTGGATCATATATACCTTCCTATAACAACAACAACAAAAAACCCAAACGAACCAGAAACACACAGTCAACAAAGGTAAAAACAATTCAAAAGGAATAAATACTTGAAAAATCATAGCATTTTTCTGAATTACATGATTCAGAATTCTCATTTTTTTCTCTGCCAGGTCCCTTGTCAGCACCTTTTGGGACCACCTCCTTACTTGATTTTTTTGGGGTGCAACCAACTCCTTACCTGATTTCAAGGAGGCTTGGGAAAAGGGATGAAACAGGATAAGTCACAGGAAACCTGCCTCCTTAAAGCTCTAATCATCTTTGTAGCTCATCATGCCTTCCCCTTCCCTATTCTACCTCTTCTTGGGCTGCCTTTGTCTCCCTAATTCAGTCTCTGTATAGGGAATAGAGGTGGCAGCCCGAAAATTGTGCTTGACTTTAATGTAATTTCTTATATTTACCGGACATGGCAAAGATAGCACCGTTACTCTAATAAGATCATAAAGCACACACTTTAAATTTCTATTGACGTGACAGAGACCCTAAGTCTGACAACCCAGAACCAAGGAGAAAGTTTTTTGTTGTTGTTTTCCCCTGACTTTTTCCCTTCCAGAGAATTTTCTGTTGGTACTTTTAATTTAGAAGTTAACTGAGATCTTAGTATGCACTCAACTGAGGACATGAAGTCGCAGGAGTGGAACAGCATAGAACGAGAAGAGGTGTGCTGGAGGGAAATCAGAGGGCACGATTATGGTAGATGGTAGATGTACCGTTTTTATTTCTCCTTCAACTCCTTGTGCTAGGGCTTGCCTTAAGTACATGGGAGCTAGCTGGAGATGGACAAGTCATGAGAATTAAACATTTGGACCTGTGCATTTGGCACCATCAGTCCAAGATTTCATAGGGAAAGTGGAATTTTAGAAGTAGTCTAACATGTACTAATGGATCAGTTTATTACTAATATATTGATTTAATGAATGCCCATATAATGTGCTTAGGTATATTGCCAACTGGAAGGAAATTGCTACAAGCAACTCTTCAGATAACTTCAAAAGTAGGTGATTTTTAGCAATACTTTTATGGGGAATTCTTGTGAACAGAATGACACATTGCATACACGTACACATTTCTAAGCACCTAACATTTCAGCACCCTGCACAGTATATAGACATAGATGAATTTGCTAAGTCATTTTTACCTTTACATGTAAGCTTGTTATTTGGGAATAGAAGAAAATTTTCTGTTTTATTTAGGTTGGATAAAATGGTTTAAAAAATGAATCCTTCTTTTGGAAAGTTGCTTCTCTCATGGTTTTGGTAATTTTTTTTTTAAAGATTTATTTATTATTTATTTTGAGAGAGAGAGAGAGAGAGTGCATGAGAGGGGGGAGGGTCAGAGGGAGAAGCAGACTCCCTGCTGAGCAGGGAGCCTGATGAGGGACTCGATCCCGGGACTCCAGGATCATGACCTGAGCCGAAGGCAGTCGCTTAACCAACTGAGCCACCCAGGCGCCCTTGGTAATTATTTTTAATGAGCAGACTTCACATGGCAAAATAAATGCCTCAAAATGTTAGAAATAGGGGCGCCTGGCTGGCTCAGTTGTTAGAGCGTGTGACTCTTGATCTCGGGGTCTTGAGTTCAAGCCCCACACTGGGCATGGAGCCTACTTAAAAAAAAAAATTTTTTTTTTAACGTTAGAAATATTTTTTAGGTTGTCTGCCACTTGTCCCGCCAGTGGTCTACAGTACTGAGAAGCTGAAAGTGATAGCCTATTGAGGAAGCATATTCTCATGTCCTAGAAATATCAGTAATTCTAACATAGCTCAAGCCTAATTATGGGTATTGTATAATCTGAGTGTATGGGTTCTGTCCTGTGATCATCAGTGAGAGGCAGTAGGTTACAATTGTGGAATGTCGATTCAGACTGCTTCATTCTGATTTTTGGTTCTGCCGCTTACTGGCTGTGTGATACTGGGGAAATTACTGGCTCAGTTTCCTCATCTGTAAAATGAGAATAACAGTAGTACCTAGCTCATCAGTTGTTGTGAGGTTATAAGAGATAATACATGTGAAGAGCTTAGAATAGTGCCTAGCACATAATATGTGCTCTGTAAATGTTAGCTGTCATTCATCTTAACCTGTCTACTTCTTCCCAGTTCACAGCCATCCCCACAGTCTACGTGCCCATCATCCTGCTGCAGGCTTCTCCTGCAGCCTCCAAACTGACAGTCATCCAGGGCACTGCCCACACAATAGATAGTGGTCTTTTACAGATTTAAATCAGTACATTTAAAACATTTATTTAACAAACTCTTCTTTAGCAATTACTATGTGGAAGTGCTGTCCTAAAGTGCTTTATAAAATTAACTCATTTAATTTGCAGAACAGCTCAATGAGACAAGGTTCATTTTACAGATAAGCAAACAGATACCAAGTCACTTGCTCAAGGTCACATAGTCGGTTCCTGTGATGGCTAGGATTTGAAGGGAGGCTGGCTAGCCTTAGAAACCACACTCCTAACGATGAGTACCTCTGCTGTTTCCTCATAGTTTTGCACTGCGCTTAGAGTAGTCGTAACTCTGCCATGGCCTTCTGGTTCTGGCTCCCCTTCCACCCTTATCGTGTCCCACTCTCCCCCTCCCCCACAACCCTGCATCACCAGCCTCCGGCCTGTTCCTCAGAAATGCTCTGTGGTCTCCACTTGAGGGGTTTAATGGAGCTGATGGCCTTCTAGAGAACAGTTTTAGGTAACTGCCTTCACTTGACAGCAGGGGTTTGTCTGTTTGATAGGAATCCCCAACTTGTAGCACATAGTAGGTTCTCAGTGGCAGATAAAAGAATATAAAGGAATGACAAGTACAAAAATTGAAGCAGAGAATATAAATACTGAGTTAAAAGAGATTACTGTGAAAAGAAGGAAAGTTATAGCATGGCAATTGGAAGGCGCATAAGATCAAGTGAAAATTATTTTAAGTCGGGAAGATTTGCCCTGTCAGTGCAGTCAGTGGAAGGTGACCACCCTGAGGCTGTTGGCATGGGAGAAGAGAGAGACTGTGTGCCCTTGCCCCAAGAAGCATGAGGAAATCAAATCCAGAGAAGATATGGAACTTTTAGCTCTAGGGAAAGAAAAGGCTTCTCTTCATTTATGCGTAAAGAACTGTTGGCTAATACTTCATTATGGAGCACCAGCTAAATGCCAAACTGACTAAATGTTAGGTTCTTTATATGCACCCTCACAATTAATTCTCATAGAAATTTGGAGCTAAGTATGTGCCATTATTATCCCCATTTTACAGATGAGGACATTGAGAGGTTAGGTAACCTGCCCCAAATTACACAGCTACTTAGTAGTAGATCAAACCTCAGACCCGGGTTCTGCAGAGCCTGTTGTAGAGATAGACAACGATGGTGTGAAAAATAGATGAGCTGGGAAATTTGAGATATTTATGGCTAAGTAGGATATAAAGGTATCTGCTCTAAGAGTGGTAACAAGGAATGTGGAAGAGACCTCGCCTGGTAGGTAGAGGCATACTGAATGAGCCTACACTTCATCATATCTGACATCCTTCTAAACATTTGTCATTTCTCTCTAGGTTACACACTTGAGCAACCATGGACAAACAGATATGACTATGCAGATATATCAGAGGAGAAAATGGGAACACCAGAAGATAATTTAGATGGAAATATTTATAAAAAAACAAATTCTACTAGACTAACACCCGATTCCACTTATGGAATATAAAAATGAAGTACTCTGCTTTTCTGAGCTATAGCCTTTCAAGCCCTGATTCTATTGGTTATAGTCAGGAGATAGTTTATTCTGACCGGAACGACTTGCATATTGTTGGCATAGAATCTGTGTAGCTCAATTAAGTAAGGAAGCCTAAAGAGAAATAGGACATCAGACTGAATCCAATGGTCATGAAAAATGTAGAAATTACTCCTTGTATTCTAATAATCCCACTTAAATAAATACATTTAGGTGCAAAAAAATCTTCAGATTAATTTTCTTCTTTACTTGAAGCATTCTTTATTTGTGCATTCATGTCAGGCAGATCTCTTTTTCCATTTAAAAAAGGGGAAAGGGCAATGTGACAAGTTCTCCTTTTATCAGGAAAGCCAAAGCTCTACCAGAAGCCCCAGCCCTTGTCACCTTAGGCATCCTTGAAATGAAACTGGGTCACAGGGGCACTCTTAGCTAAAGAAGCTAGAAAAGCAAAAATCTATCTTTCAGCTTCCACAGGGGAGGAGTAGAGGAGTGGAGGTACCTGCCAGGTCTCCGATTTCTGAATTGCTCTATATGTTCCCAGAAGCATCCTTTGCTACTACTCTTCATCCCACTTACCACACTGTATCTTTAGAAATCGGCCTATAATCCCAATTGACTAGAGGCCTGTACCCTCAAGTATTTAAAAAAAAAAAACACCAAAAACAGCGTTCAGAGGATCTACTGTATATTTAAGAAAAAAATCAGATTTATTGAGATATAATTTCCCATTTTGAGTGTTCAGTTTGAGTTTAGACAATGTGTACATTCATGTAAATATAACATTCAAGACAAAGTATTTCCATCACCCCCAAATTGTGCATCTTTGCAGTCAATCCAGTCACCTCACCCTAAGCCCTTGGAAACCACTGATCTCCTTTCAATCACTACAGTTCTGCCTTCGCTAAAATGTCATATAAATGGAATGATTCTTTTATTTCTCCAGAAAGGGTTTCTCCAATATCTTCCATGCTTTTTTCAAGCCCAGCTAGTATCTTTAAAATCGTCATTCTGAACTCTAGTTCCGACATCGTACTAATGTCCGTATTGATTAGGTCACTGGCAGTCGGTACTGCCTCTTGTTCTTTTTGTTGAGGTGATTTTTTTCTGTCTTGTCATTTTGTCCAGCGGAGAATAGATGAATGAGAGAACAAAATGTTATTGGGGTAACAACGACCCCAGAAAAATAAAAGAGACCTGAAACCAGGGGAAAAGAAAGGGAAAGAAAGAAAAAAGATAAAAAAAAAAAAGAAAAAAACAATATGATCAAATATGATCAGGCTGGTGCATAGATCAGTGCCACACTCTAGATTTTGGGCATATTTTGGTCTGTTAGAAGAGAGTGCCTCCCAAAATTTTAAAGAAAGAAAAATTTATATATGTACAAAAATAAGGGTAAATACGATGAAGGGATGGAATATGACTGTAAAGATGAAAATTATAAAAGATTTTATAAAAGGAATTGATAAAGAAGAGGATTTAAAAAAAAAAAAAAAAGGAGAGAATGTGCTCAGGCAGGAGACTAGAACAAAGCCATACACTAGAGATTTAGGGTATATTTTGGTCTGTTAGAAGAAACTGTATCCCAAAATTTTAAAGAGAGAACAACTTATATATATATATATATACCAAAAATAAGGTTAACTACTATGAAGGGATAGAATATGACTCTAAAACTGAAAACTAAAAAATATTTTTTTTAAAAAAGGATATGTAGTCTTTTTTGGTTTAGCTTCTTTAATTTAGCATAATGCTTTTGAGATTCATCCTTCTTGTCACTTATATCAGTAGTTCATTCCTTTTTTAATGATTAATATTCCATTGTATGGCTATCCCACAATTTATCCATTCACCAGTTGATGGACATTTGGTTGTTTCCAGTTTGGGATCGTTATGAATGAAGCTGCTATGTACATTCATGTATGAGTCTTTGTGGGTACATATGTTTTCATTTCTCTTGGGAAATACCTGAGAGGGGAATAGCAAAGGCAAACTATATTTTATAAGAACCTGTCTTTTTCTTTTTTTATATTTATATAAAATAAAATATAAAATATAAATATATTTTAAAATTATAAATATATTATTGAAGTATAATTGACATACAATGTTATATTGGTTTCAGGAACACAAGATACTGATTTGACAATTCTATGCCCATTGCTCACCATGATAACTACAGTCACCATACAACATTATTTTATATTATTAACTGTATTTCCTATGCTGTAGTTTTCATATCCTTGACTTATTTATTTTATAACTGGAAGTTTGTGCCCCTTAATCCCCTTCATCTATTTTGACCAACCCCCCATTCACCTCTCCTCTGGCAACCACCACTTTGTTCTCTGTATTTAAACTGTTTTATTTTTTTGTTTGTTTTATGGTTTTGAGATTCCACATACAAGTGAAATTATATAGTGTTTGTCTTTGATTTATTTCACTTAGCATAATACTCTCAACGTCCATCCATGTTGTGACAGAAGGCAAGATTTCATTCTTTTTTATGTCCAGGTAATATTAGTGTATGTGTTTTGTGTGTGTGTGTGTTTATCACATTTTGTTATTATAAATAATGCTGCAATAAACATAGGGGTGTAGGCACCTGGGTGGCTCAATCGGTTAAGTGGCTGCCTTCAGCTCAGGTCATTATCTCAGGGTCCTGAGATCGAGCCCCACATTGAGTCTGCTTCTCCCTCTGCCTCTGCTGCTCCCCCTGCTTGTGCTCTCTCGTTTGCATGCACTCTCCCTCAAATAAATAAATAAAATCTTAAAGGTGCATATATCTTTTCAAATTAATGTTTTTGTTTTGAGTAAATAGTAGTGGAATTACTGGATCATATGATAATTCTATTTTTAATTTTTTGAGGAACCTCCATATTGTTTTCCACAGTGTCTGTACCAGTTGAAACTCCCACTAAGAACACATGAGGATTCCCTTTTCTCCACATCCTTGTCAACACATTATTTCTTACCTTTTTGATCCTAGCCATTCTGACGGGTATAAGGTGGTATCTCACTGTGGTTTTGATTTACATTTCCCTGATGATTAGTGATGTTGAACATCTTTTTACATGTTTGTTAGCCATCTGTATGTCTGCTTTGGGAATATATCTTTCAGGTCTTGTGTCCATTTTAAAATCAGATTATTTGGGTTTTTTTGGTGTTGAGTTGTATAAGTTCTTCATATATGTTGGATATTAATCCTTTATCATATCATTTGCTATATTCTTCCATTCAGTAGATTTGCCTTTTTGTTTTGTTGATAGTTTCCTTTGGTGTGCTTTTTATTTTGCTGTAGTCCCAGTAGTTTATTCTTGCTTTTGTTTCCTTTGCCTGAGAAAATATATCCATAAATACATTGCTAATGCTGATGTCTAAGAGATTACTACCTGTGTTTTCTTCTAGGAATATTAGTTTCAGGTCTCACATAAAGGTCTATAATCCATTTTGAGCTTATTTTTTGTATGGTGTAGAAACACAGTCATTTCATTTTTTTTGCATGTAGATGTCCAGTTTCTCCAACACCATTTATTGAAGAGACTGTCTTTTCCCTGTTGTTTATTCTTAGTTCTTTTGTCATAAATTAATTAACCATATAACCATGGGTTTATTTCTGGGCTATCTATGTGGTTTTTTTTGCGCTATTACCATACTGTTCTGGTTACTACAGCTTTGTAGTATATTTTGGAGTCTGGGATTGTAATACATCCAGTTTAGTTCTTTCTCAGGATTACTTTGGTTATTCAGGGTCTTTTGTGGTTCCGTACAAATTTTGATTATACATCCTAGTTTTGTGGAAAATGCTATTGGTATTTTGATAGGGATTGCGTTAAATCTGTAGATTGCTCTGAGTAGTATGGACATTTTAACAATATTAATTCTTACAATCTGTGAGCATGACATATCTTTCTATTTGTGGTGTTCTCAGTTTCTTTCCTCAGTGCCTTACAGTTTTCAGTTTTCACCTCCTTGGTTAAGTTTATTCCTAGGTATTTTGGGGCGCCTGGGTGGCTCAGTCGTTAAGCATCTGCCTTCCGCTCAGGTCATGATCGAGCCCCGCATTGGGCTCCCTGCTCTGCAGGAAGCCTGCTTCTCCCTCTTCCACTCCCCCTCCTTGTGTTCCCTCTCGCTGTGTCTCTCTCTGTCAAATAAATAAAATCTTTAAAAAAAAAAAAGTTTATTCCTAGGTATTTTATTATATTCAGTGTAATTGTGAATGAGATTTACTTCTTAATTTCTCTTTCTGGTTCTTCGTTATTAGCACATAGAAACACAACAAATTTATGTATGTTAATTTTGTATCCTGTAACTTTACTGAATTCATTTATGAGTTCTTATAGTTTTTTGGTGGAGTCTTTCAGGTTCTCTATATGTAGTACCATGTCATCTGCAAATAGTGACAGTTTTACTTCTTCCTTAGTTTTGATGGCTTTTTTTTTTTTAAGATTTTATTTATTTTGACAGAGAGAGAGCACAAGCAGGGGGAGAGGCAGAGGGAGAGGGAGAAGCAGACTCCCTGCTGAGAAGGAAGCCCGATGCAGGGATCGATCCCAGGACCCTGGGATCATGACCTGAGCCAAAGGCAGACACAACCGTCTGAGCCACCCAGGCGCCCCTTGATGCCTTTTATTTCTTTTTCTTGTTACTGCAGTGAGGACTTTCCAGTACCATGTTGAATGCAAGTGGTGCGAGTGGACATTCTTGTCTTATTCCTGATCCTAGAAGAAAAGCTCTCAGTTTTTCACTATTGAGTATGACGTTAGCTGTGGGGTTTTCATATATGAACTTTATATGTTCCCACTATACCTACGTCATTGAGAGTTTTTATCATGAAAGAGGTTGTATTTTGCCAAATGCTTTACCTGCATCTTTTGAGAGGATAATGTGGTGTCTGTCCTTCCTTTTCTTATTGAAGTTATGTATCACACTGATTGATTGGTGAATATTGAGCTACTCTTGTATCCCTATAGTAA